AGGAGAAAGAGACTCAGTGGAAGGGCTGGAGTCCAGGTGGAGAAGAGAAGCAGAGTCTAAGTCCTTGGTTGAATAGGGGGTAGGGGGTTATAGCTACCTATCCAGGCTGGAAAGTTGTCCTTGTCCAGTAGGTGTTGTCCAGAGGGGGATCGCCAGCAGGGCCTCTGGGTGGATAGATGGTGTGGCATGGTGCTGGTCCAGATAGAGATGGCATCCCAAAGAGTTAGTCTTCACGACCCCTTTTATGGGGCAGACTATCTCTGATCTCCTATGGGGAGGGCCTGTCCAGGCAACGTTAGTCCTGTCCCAGAGGGCTCCAGGTGTTCTTACTGAGCATGTGTAGCCTGGAACAATGGTGGCTTGCTTTATCTTTTGTTTCTTGAATACTGAGAGTGGTTCCAAGGGCTGGGTCATTGGTCCAGGTATTGGTGTTGATGGTTCGATTATTCAGAGGGAGCTATTTTTAGACCTACTGCCATTGTCTCTCAAGCACCCACATTTATCCCCAGTCATTCAGGAACCAAGTTACATAGGAGGGATACGTGTGAGTCATGGGTTACACAACTGGGCCTGGGGACAGGATGGAGACTTGACAAACAAAATGGAAACTTGACATGACTTATGCTAACTTACATATGTAGGCCTAAATAATATAGTACCAGTAAAACAGTAATATAGAACAGTAAAAATCAATATAAACATAATAATTATACAATATAAAGGAGGAGAAAAAACAAAACAAATACAACTTGCTACCAAAATAAAATGCTGAAGCTTATCCTATGTCTTAGTTCACTTATATTTATCTATAGAGAATAGAGAGGGAAAGAAAAAGTCAGAAATGGTTGGGGAAGGGGAGGGAATGCATTTTAAAAGAAAAAAAAAGAAAAACAGGGGGTTTTGCTACAGGTAGGGATTCTTACTTTCAGTCCTCCAGGCTCTGCTGGCTTGTAGTACAATGGTTTTAATGCTAGCTCCAGTATTGTTAGCACTAAAACCCATCAATATTCATGTGGCTCATAGTGTAAGGTGAAAAGCCCCAACTTTTTAACCTTTTTTCCACAGAACACACTGTGAAGCCATCAAGAGTTCTGTGCTGTAGACATGCTGTCTCAGAAGTTATAAATGTGATCAATGCCTTAACAGAGACACTCAACAAGGTGTCAATTCAAAGTACATTATTTGAAGTTCATTAGCTCCCTGTGTGAATGTGCTCTTTCAGAAGTGGCCTCGATTTGATTTAGTCTAATTCAGAAGGTGATTAAGGCCACTTTATTTCTCAGTGAAAGCACCTGCCTAGGGATTTAAGGGACTTTAAATTCACACCATAAAGTAGTTTGCATTAACTTTCTGAGATTTCTCCAAAATATGGAAATCAGTGAATGCATCCTGTAGGTAACCCAAGAAAAAAAAAGTCATTGTGTCCTTTCATTTTTACAATGTTTTTACACTTATGTCATGTGTTTTACTACCTAGTAATAAAAAAGTGACACTTCATGGACATTTGAGAACTGAAGTTTGGTAACAGTTCTGAGAATGATGCATTTGTGCTTTACCCATTTGTCATTGACGTAACAAGATTAATGAAATGTCATTTACCTACTGGCTCACATTGTCTTTCCAAGGCAAGTACTTAAAGAAAATTCAGGTTGTAATATACCTAACTCATTATTCATATAGACTAGACTGGAGCAGGGATCATTTTCTTTAGTGCTTGGAAAATAATTACCATGTAGTGGGCACATCTAAAAATAGAAGAGATTTTGCTTCTGAAATAGGTGTTTTATTTTTGCTTTGTTTAAGATGCATCCATTTAAAAAATAAGAAGACATGCTGAATCATTCATGGGATCATAGGAAGGATTGGAATGGACCTCACAAAGCCATCTAAGTCCAGCTCCCTGCTCAAGGTATGATTGCCCCTGACTAAACTATCGCAGCCAAGTGTATATCCAACCCATTTGTAGGAGTTCTGGTTGTGCTAAACCAGAGGCAGGCAGTTATTTGAGCTAGAGGGCCACTTAGGAAGTTTTTGTGAGCTGTCACCAGGCAGATCAGCACTGCCCCCGCCCCCCATCCTGGGCTGGTCAGCACCCACACCCCTCCCCCCACAAAACAGCTCACTAAATCTTCCTAAGTGACTCTGCCCTGGGCCTGGCCCTGCGCTGCCACCACCCGGCAATCCCAGGGTCTCCAAGGAGACTGCCCAGATGGATGGGATGGGGCCATGGGTGGGCAAGGAGTGGCATCTGGGAGCAGGATGGATGGACAGATGGGGCTGGGGCCACGGGTGAGGCCAGGATCATGGGGTAGTGACAGCTCAGAACTGGGGCCCACGACAGAGCCATGATCCGCTCCTGATATACCCCTGCCCATGGAACCTGTTGCTCATCATGCCAGGCAGGCGGAGTTGGTGGAAGTCCCACACACTGGGGAAGGAGCCACCCAAATGCAGCTTCCCTGCTGCCTGGAGTGGTACAGAAGGGGCAGGAGGAAGAGAAGGATCACTGGAGATGGGGAAGAGCTGAGCAATACCTATGCAGGTGCAGCTGCACACTAGCCAAGGAAGGAGTGTCAGGTGCATATGGACAGAAGGGTGGCATGGGCTGCCCAGGGTGGAAGCGAGCAGGGCTCAGTCCCATGCAAAATGTTGTGGGGGCAACCATAGGCTAGATACAATCAATTTGTGTTGCCTGCCCACAGTCCAGATCCAATTGGTTGGCAGGCTGGATCAGGCCTGCAGGCCTTTTTGCCCAGCCCTGCACTAGACCATAGATATGCCAAACTATAACAAGCTATGGTCACGAAAAGCAGAATGGGAGAAAGGAATCTCATGACTGCTGGATAACATGATAAGAGAGAGAGAAAAAATAAAGACACTGAAGGGACTACATAAACAGGTGCTGAAAAACTTAAGGAAAAATGTAAAAAGTATAAACTCACTAATGAGGCAGAGATAACAAGAACCAAAGTGCAGGCATGTAAACTTGGCAAAAAAAACCAAGTAGAAATGAACAGGCTGACAAAGATAAAGATAAGAATGGGCATGAGGCTGTGGGGCAGCACGCAAGTATAAATACAAGGGTTGATAGACCTATCCATCATAGAGACCTAGGGGAGTGTGAATAACATACAGTGTCTCTACCTTCAAAGACAAGTTTCATTAAGTTAGACTGACTGTTAATCAGACCAACTGGTATACTGTCCCAGGATAATAAACCCTTCTGAACTTTTGCCATTGAACACAGATCCAAGTTGTTTTTCTACCGATACACGTGACAGACCTGTGCTCCAACACCTGCTAATTAACACGTCTCAGAGCAGACTCTATTAACTGAGTCTGCTGCAAGTCTGCTGGAGCATGCTAATTAGCGTGCTCCAGCAGCCTTCACATCACATGTATTCAGCATCCCTTTGTTTCAAAATAGTGGCAGGGGCACTTTAACTAAAGCTCATTGAATAAGCTTTAGTTAAAGCACCCCTGCCACCATTTTGAAGCACAGGACAGTGAATGCATGTGATGTTGTAGGCGCTTTAATTAGAGCAGCTCTCAGAGCCCTCCAGCATCAGCCTTCCAGAACACAGACCCCAGCAGCCTGTATACCAAAAGCAACAGCAACCAGAATGAGCTTTAGTTAAAGCTCCCCACCACCGTTTTGAAGCACAGGTTGCTGAATACACGTGATGCTGCAGGCACTTTAGAGTGGCTCCCAGAGCTGCTCTAATTAAAGTGCCCCCTACTCCACTCCGGATCACATGTATATATGCCCTAGATGATCTCAACTCTCTTAACGGCATTATAGGGAAAAGGGTTATTTAAAGAACTGAGAATAACTTTCCTACTGCATAAAGAGAAATCAAATGTCTGCAAATTGCTCTGAGATGGAAGTGTATACAAGTGTAGACTCTTGAAGTTTATTATATGTTACTCTTAACTCCTTGTGGTTCATAACAGCCTCCTGTTTGTATCAGCATTACTAGCTGTTTCTTTCCATTTCTTTCTTTATAAATAACACCTCTGAAGCCAGTTACTCATTCTGAAAAGATATCTTCTCTTACCTACTTCAGCTCCCCAATTAAATTTCTGCCTACCTCCTCAGATTTGGACAGTGGGTGACATCATGCAAAATAGATCTAGAAAAGGATCTGGTCTAGCTAACCTTTGAAAATAGTCCCTAGGTTCCTCTATTCATCACACTCTATAGCTAAAACCAGAACTTGATACTTTTTGGAAGAGACTCTTATAAAAACAAAGTGGTCTACCAAGGACTAGTCTTTTCTGAATAGGCCTTTGGGGGCAATTGGACAAGGGGCTTTCTGTCCCCAGAGGTTTTTTTGCAGAACTGCTTTGCTCTTTAAGAAAAGACTCACAAGATTTTGTAAGTTCCTAGGTTTACCACAAATGGCCTCAGCTCATCTCTGAAAAGTTCTCTCTCATGAACTCCTATCAGCCATCAGCAGGCTTTGACTAAAGTCTCCAATTAAGCTAAAATTTTCTCATATTCTATCCTTATTAAAAGAACTAAAGCATATGTCATAAAGGAGGGTTTTTAGCAGAAAGCCTACTGAGTTTTCTATTTCCCGTTATTTCTAATTGCCAAATTTGGGACACTTTCTCTCAGTACTCCTTGGGAAAAAATATTGCATCTTACAATCATTGCCTCAGTAAGATCTGAGTTCTTATTTTGGCTGATTTAATCAAGTGTTAAAA